CTTCTTCTTCGTGTCTTCTTCGTCTTCTTCTTCTTTGTGTCTTCTTCGTCTCCTTCTTCTTTGTGTCTTCTTCGTCTCCTTCTTCTTCGTGTCTTCTTTGTCTCCTTCTCCTTCGTGTCTTCTTTGTATCCTTTTTCTTTGTGTCTTCTTCTTCTTCTTCTTCTTCTTCTTCTTCTTCTTTTGAAAGGTAACAACTTTGTGATATGATCTTTGAACTGAGCTGCCCCAGGTAGTAATTCTGCGCTCACGCGGTTGCATTGGAGTGTGAACTCTGATCTACATTTCAAAAGTTTGTGTGAGTGGACTCGCATCTTGTTCTCAGGTTTTCTTTTGTTTTTTGTTCATGAACTCTATGGAGCATGGGACTTCCCCCCTTCCCCCCCTCTCCCTAAGCGGGCATTGGCACTACCGTCCTGACCCAAATACAACATAGGATCATTATAGCTGTATTTTTTGGGGCAACTTCGAGTCTAGATACAGCAATAATGACCGTACGTTGTATTCGGGTGAAGACGGTTGGCCTACTTGTTCTTTTTTTTGTTTTCATTTGGCTTTGCTAGAAGTCATATTCATTCGGAAAAGCTCTAGTGTGAGTTTGCCAATGTATGGTCATTATAGACTTTGAGTCTAGACTCTAGATGCAGCAAAAACGGCCGTATGTTGCATTTGGGTGTAGACGGTAGGCCTCATTATCTTCTGGAAACTGTTTTAGCATTGTCAAGCAGTTGGTGCTTTAGTCTGCTCAGTCTGCAGGGCAGGAGGAGGTATAGAGTGGCTGAATCTTCAGGTGCTCCTGAATTACTCCACTCACTTGCTCGTGCCCTTTGTGAAGACGGGAACAGCCACCTCTCACGTGGCAGTCAGCTTCACACGGGACCCAGCATCGCACTGGACGCAAATGCAGAATCAAGCTTCGTGAGCGAAGAAAGCACACCGGCTCACAGTCTCAACTCGTTCCTGATGCGCTCAGTCACACACAGACCGTACTAGCGGTCATGTCATTGGGTGTCCATGGCTGAGAGGGTGTGTAGAGTGGGTTTTATGACTGTGTCAGATTAGTTTCTCAGACTTACTACCGTTCTTGTCAAGGGTTTGGACCGGCAGTCTGCTAGGATTGCGAGGTTGGTGTGAGTAAAGTGGGGACCACTTTTCTCAGGGGTGTCGCTAACTCTGGGCGATGTGGTGAGTCCTTATCCATCAGTCAAATGAATGGATCCTGGGCAGACTGTCAGGGTTCAACCTCCTGATGAGTCGGTGAAAGTCCGACGAAACAGTCTGTTCGGTACAGTCATGGTTTTTTTGAGTGTATAGCGAATATGACAACACACACACACTCATCTGCGGCCTGCTGCAAGACGAGCATGATGTAAAGAAATTTGAAAATGTTGCGACCAGTTCCAACGAATAGCGGCAATAAGTTCAAAAATAGAAGAAGAAAAAAAATTGGTACAGAATACCAATTCAGAAAAAGAAGAAGGAAAAAGTGGTACCGAATACCAATATCTGAACAGCGGCACCGGTACTCGAGCGGCGACTGAACGGTGCCAACTGATATCAGCTAGGTGCCAGGCAATGACACTTATCCCATGTGCCTGAATGGTACATACATGTAACTGTCGATAGATAGATCATGAGTTTGAATCCTTATGAAGTCAGATGGATACAAAAAAATAAACATACGATGACAAAAAAAGGTGCAAGGCAACAATGCCATGGGAAACTACCGAGTCCGAAAGGAAGAAGCAACGTGCCAGGCACAGATAGCCCTTCCCCTTGTTCTTCACATGAAAAGATCACGAGTTCGAATCACGACGAAATCAGATGGATACTAAAGAAGAAAAAAGGGAAACAAAAAAGGTCCAAGGCAGAGATAGCCCTTCCCCTTGTTCTGCACATGGTAAAAAAGAGACCAGAAACAGTGTTCCAAGATGCTACAGAAAAGAAAACGAAGAGGGAGGAGTTTCACCCTGACAATGAATGCATACAAGCTATCTTTCCGGTCCAGTACAGCCATAATGAGGGTGCGTTGTGTTCGGGGGAGTACAGTAGACATCGACCAAGCTGTTTGGGATCCTTAGGGGACTTTATGCAGTGCGTGGAACTCAAGACGACAGGCAGATGGATGCCAATTAGGCAGGTCAACTCTTTTCCAATTGTGAAGCAGCAGTCAGTAGGAATCATTGTAGCTTCATCAACCGCCAGTCCAATGCTGAGCCGCTAGAATCAGTCGTGCCCACCCGAAAACATGCCCTGCATGATCTTTTGCAAATGAACTCTGTGCAACACTGCAAAGCAATACGCATCTGCCCCTCACATACCACTTCCCACCCTCATTCATCTCTGCTCTTTGCTCTCTTAGCCTCCTTTTAGTGTGCGTAAGTTCGTGTGTGTGTGTGTGTGTGTGTGTGTGTGTGTGTGTGTGTTAGAGAGAGAGAGAGAGAGAGAGAGAGAGAGAGAGAGAGAGAGAGAGAGAGAGAG